TTATAGCCAGTGATGACTTGTGGATCTGAGACATGGTCTTTCACTGCTGGCCATATGAAAAAGCTCAAGATGCGCTTAGCGAGGATATCCGTAGTAGAACCAGAGTAACCGACATAGCACAACGGATTACTAAGCTGAAGTGGCAATTGGCCGGCCATATAGCTCGAAGAACCGACAACCGACGGGGAAACAATGTTCTCGAGTGGCAGCCTCGTACCGGTAAGGATGGTTTGGCGTGGCTAGGCTCTAGGTGGAGTGACAACCTAGTAAGACATCCATGAAGTGACCTGAGGATGCCTCGTGTAGAGGCGAAACACGTGTCGTATTATCGTCAGTGGTGTGTCTTGCCTAGTGTAGTGGTGTTGGGAGTAGCGGTGCTGGGATTGGTGGTAACGGGGATAGTGCACGCAATTGAGGGAGGGCGGGAGGTGCTCTTCATACTAGGTAAGCCACATCATTTTATTTTATAACGCGGATATTTGCGAAGTAAATTTTTCTAAAAGCTTTTATCCATGAAGTCGATGGATGCAGGTGGCTCAGCACCGTGCTTTGTGGCATTCTTTGGGGAAAGCCTATGTTCAGCAGTGGACTCGTGAAGGACTGTAATGAAGCCTACAATTCAGCCTACTAATCCGTTGGACTATGTCGGTTACTCTGGTTCTACTACGGATATACTCATTATTAAGTCTATTACGAAAAGAAACCCAGAGCATAGCTCGCGGGCTAATGATTAAAGAAAGTCAACCCGCAGTATCGCTAGCTTAAATCGATGTGTAACCTCATGAAGCAGTTGGCAAACTTTTGCGTGTGGGTCCTACAATGTACAAGGATTTCATTTTATTAATATATTAGACACAGACTAAACTCGTAAAGAGATCAGCTGCAATTCGGAATTTCAAAATCAAACTTCATATAAATTCCAAATGGAAACATCACAGGAAACAAAATTATTCGTTCAGAAATATTGTCTATTCAATAATTTATAACATCGTGAATCTCCAAACGGGTAAGATAATATTCATTGGTATAAAAATTTCGATTCGAGTTCGAGTAAATTCTAATAATATATAATATAAAAATATATAATGTTATGAAAAAATATATACTGTTGACGATGATCACAAGAGCTATTTTTGTTTGTTTGTTGTTTGTTTTCGAAATTTAAGTTAATAAAACTTAAAAGACAAAAAAGAATAACATAATTGGTGCTAAAGTGCTAAAACATAGTGTATAGAAGAATTAAATTCCCGATTCCAGAAGCTGTTATGTGGAATTATTTTTGTTATGTTTTGTTGTTGAAGTAAGTTTTGCGTTTTATTAAAAAACAATTGTTTTACTCTTTTGAGTGGAATAACGAATATCACAAGTCCAAGGCAACAACTAGAATGTTGTGCAAATATTTTTTCATCATTTGTGTTGAAATTTTTTCTTAAATTTATTTGGTCCTTGACTTTAAAAAAACGATTCTGCTTTTTACGGTAAATCAGTGAACATACATTAAAAAAACCTACGCATCGAATAACGAACCTTTGGTACTCAGTTAAAACTCAAAGTTATAAACGTCACAGATACTTATTACTAGCTGTTACCCGCGGCATCGCCCGCATGAAACAGAAACAGAAACAGAAACAGAAACAGAAACTTTTTTATTCAATATAGATTATAAATAATACTTATTGAAAGTCACTCTTTTGTTTGATTACCACTGGTTCGGAAAAAACCTCTGTCCTGGGAAGAACCAGCAAGAAACCCAGCGGGACTTTTTTTTTTAAATAACAGCTTACAATCATGATGTTACACAAATTAACAACACAACAAATTAGAAATAGGTTGGTAGCGATCACCTCATTTCCAGGGGTTATTATCATTCATAAATTCCTTAATATTATAATAACCCTTTTTATACAAACTTAGTTTAATAAAGTTTTTGAACTTTGAACAGGTCAAACTTTGTATATTTTCTGGAATTTTGTTGTAAAAGCGTATACATCGCCCCAAGAATGAATTACTGACTCGATGGAGTCGAGTAACTGGTACTACTAGCTTGTGTCTGTTCCTAGTATTTACAGAATGAATATCACTTATTTTTGTAAAACTACTTTTATTTTTGTGTACGTACATTACATTTTCATAAATGTATTGAGAGGCCAAAGTTAATATATTAATTTCCTTAAATTTTTGCCGCAGCGTCTCTTTAGGCTTTAAATCATAAATTGCTCTTATGGCCCTCTTCTGCAAAACAAATATAATTTCAGTGTCAGCTGCGTGTCCCCATAGCAAAATACCATACGACATTATGCTATGGAAGTAGCTGAAGTAAACTAGTCTAGCTGTTTCAACACTGGTTAAACTTCTAATCTTTTTTACAGCATATGCTGCAGAACTAAGTCTGCTTGCTAGTTTTGATATATGGGGGCTCCATTGAAGCTTCGCGTCTAGTGTGATTCCAAGAAAAATGGTGGTATCTACAAGACTCAGTTTCTCCCCATTGAAAATTATATTAGTATTTAATTGTTTGACATTTGGAGTCACGAATTTCATACATTTTGTTTTAGTGCCATTTAAATGCAAATTATTAACATCGAACCAATTTACTAATTTAGAGATAGCATTATTTACTTCGTCATATTTTAGTAACTGTCGACTTAATTTGAAAATTAAAGAAGTGTCATCTGCAAATAATACTATATCATGGTTATCCCCTACTATGTAAGGTAAGTCATTAATGTATACAAGAAACAGAAAGGGGCCGAGAATTGAGCCTTGAGGCACGCCCATTTGTACCATCGATCCGGAAGAGCTCATATTGTTAATGACAACTTTTTGCGTTCTCTTACTTAAATATGAAATAATTAATTTAAGGGCATCACTTCTTACACCGTAGTGTTGAAGTTTCCTGATTAATGTTTCATGGTGAACACAATCGAAGGCCTTGGATAGGTCACAAAATATACCCAAAGCATCCTGTGAATTCTCCCATGCATTAAAGATATATTTAATCAGCTCAACACCGGCATCAGTTGTCGAGCGACCCCTTGTGAAACCAAATTGATTTTTATGAAGTAAATTATTTATATTAAAAAAATTTAACATTTGAACAAGAACAATTTTTTCAAAAATCTTACTAAGTGTTGGTAGTACAGAAATAGGTCTAAAGTTGGCGGGGTCTAATGTACTACCAGATTTAAATAAAGGTATTACTTTACTATGCTTCATTAAATCAGGAAACACACCAGATTCGATACTAGTATTAAAAATAATAGCTAAATGAGGCGCGATTGTATCTATTATAGACGCAATAACTTTAACGGAAATCCCCCACAGATCCGCAGTTTTCTTAACATCAATAGTTTTAAAATATTTTACAATATCTTTTGATGACACTTTATGAAATGTAAAATTCTTTGTACACACATTTACATTTTGTTTAAGTAATGATTCGGCGACGGCAGGAGAAGAATTCAGTGACTTAGTGGTCAAGATCAGAATATCAGTAAAATATTTCTCAAAAACCATTGCTACGTCCTGATCTGATACAGTTAATTTGTTGTTAACACTTAACTGGTAATTTGAATTGCGAGAGTTGATCTTACCAGTTTCGCTATTAATTATACTCCATGTCATTTTAATTTTATTGGAAGCCGTCTTAATTTTGTTGCTCAAATGCAAAGACTTGGCTATGGAGCACACTCTTTAAAATATTTTTGAATATTTTTTTACATATTCCCTAAATTCGACGCTATGATTATATGACCTTTCATGGTAAAGATCATATAACCTATGCCTGCTCTTATGGACTCCTACTGTCGCCCATTCATTGAATGACTTCCATGGTCACTGGGAAATGAACTATCCATTGCTTTTTCAATTGAAAGAAAACTGAGTTTTATAGATTTGTCAGAGATGCAACCATTAAAAAGAAACTGAGCAAAATTGATTCGTCAGCCTATTTAAATGTTTTGAAACGCAGCGTATAGGAAAACATGAAAATAGCCTGTTTATTCCAAATGGAAATGGGATATTTTTTTACTTAAAGGAAACTCAGCATAATTATTCGTCAGGGATGCAGACTTTTGAAAAGAAACTAAGGTAAATTGATTCGTCAGAGATGCAGTTTTCTGAATTGAAAGGAAACTGAGCCAAATAAAAGATCCATCACAGATGCAGCCTTTTGAGTTGAAAGGAAACTGAGCTTAATAGATCCGTCAGAGGTGCAGCATTTGGAATTGAAAAGAAAGATCTGTGGGAATTCTGATTAATTGATTGTGGGAATTTTGGAAAAAAAACTAACTGAACACTATTTTAAGACGCTACTGTACACAATGTTATATGTTTTTCCATTCGGGGAATTCCATGTGGAGATTCTGGGCATTTGACACACGCGAACATGCTACATACAGCTGACCATGAGAGAAGCACGGTTTTTCTAAGTTGCTCCCCGCTACCTGTAACGTTTGCCCTTGCGCTTTGTTAATTGTCATTGCAAAATTGAGCTTAATAGGGAACTGCAACCTTTTGGATTGAAAAGGAAGATCTGTGGGAATTATAGGGATCCGTGGTATAATAACATTTTTACCTTTTCCTACACCTGTCAAAATTGTAGCACCGATTATGTTCCGTCCAAGATGTGTCACACGCAACCTTGTTCCGTCACATAACCGAAGAGCATCTAAATTTTGCATTAGTATGACTGGGATGCCTAATTTTAATTGAAGCTTATGTGAGGGCACACCTGAAAACTCTAGAGAATTTAGAAACTCTACGGGATATGAAGTGCTCTGTTCTGTGTCTATAACTGTGTCTACTGACAAATACTCTGTTATTTCTCCTGCTACTTCGTTTAATATATCTGAATTTATTTTGTTAACGCTCTCATTTTTGGTGCAAGAATCGCCCTTTCACATAACCATTTGTCTTCGTGCATGTTGTTCGTTAAATCTGAATAAACGCTCGCAATTAGATTTCAGAATGACTCTGTACTAAATTTCAAAAATCTCTCATCAATTTAACACAGCCCTCAGCATCCGCCTATCGCCTATTTTTAATAGTGTGTCAGAATAGTTTCCAGCATTGATATCATTATACAAATGCACTCTCATATTCGTAGTTAAACTGAATTTTGTCACCTTGTTCCATAAAATAGACGACTTGAGGCATGCTTTAATTTCATCTGCAGGTGTGCCCTTTTGAATGACAGGTAAAGTTTGGCGAAAGTCGCCAGCCAGTAAAACCACCATTCCTCCCATTACATCGGTATTACTGCGCAAATCCTGGAGCGTTCGATTAAGTGCTTCTACAGCTTTTTTATGCAACAATGTACTTTCGTCCCACACTAAAAGTTTGCATTGTCGTAGCATTATACCTCGTGCACAATTTTTGCTAAAGTTGCAGATACGCGCTTCTTCCTGGGCTAGAGTTAGAGGGAGTTTTAAAACAGAATGTGTAGTGCGGCCCCCGCTTAGCAGCGTGGCGGCTATACCAGAGGAAGCTACGGCCACAGCAATGTTTTTATCTTTCCGTACTTGCGCTAATAATAAATTTAACAAAAATGTCTTCCCAGTTCCTCCAGGGGCATCTAAAAAGAAAAGTGCACAATTTCCAGATTCAATTTGTCCTAATACTTCGTCAAAAACTCGTTTTTGTTCGGGAAGCAAGCGGGGTACAAATTCGGCTACTTGCTGCTGCAAAGCTGGTATATCGTAGTTTGTTTCACGTATAATTTCATCATTTCTTAGTTCATTTTCGGTTGTTCGCTGAGGGCTTATCATTCCAAAGTCGCTTAATTTTTTCCCTACCATTGGCATTACTTTATCTTCAAATTTTCCAAGTGCTTCATTATAAATGTGTTCCTTGTATGTCATGTTCGCGTGTCTGCTGTAACCTTCGCAAAATATCTTCCGCCATAAACTCTATATTTGTCCCACGATTCATGTGCATTAGATAGTCCGCAAGATGATATGAGAGTTGCATAAATATCCCTAATTTTGGCTGGTGACTGGCACTGCACAGCTTCCTCCATGGTTTCATCCCAGTGATCGTTATCGTTTTCGTGATATCTGATATCGTTTTCTAAACGATGCAGAGCTTCACATGCTTCTCTATAAGTTGCGCATTCCTGACCGTTGACAGTTTTAAGGTCTTTATATCCTGTAGGACCCCGAACATGGTGCAGCAGCAATCGTAAACAGAAACATTCAAAATTAGTTACATGGACGGTATAAACACGACCAAGGGCATCTGATGACTTTACACTGGGCCAATTTGCAACAGGCACGCCTTGAATACGGCGTTTCCACTCCTTCCTAGATGTGTTCCAAGTATAATAGCGGGGGACTTCAGAATATAACAACGTTTTTGCGAAGGGGTCGGTTTGACAAAGTTGAAAGAAGGCTGTTAGTGTAGTTTTTGGCGGTGATGCAATTCTTTCTTGGAAATTTCTTTCGGTGAAATATACACGCTCTCCATTTTCTAAGTGCACAGCAAGGTGAGTAACTGTTGGGTGCCTTTCGTGTAAAGGGAAGCCAAGGAGACGCCACGCTGCCTCGTTACTGTTGACATAACGCCCTGCTTGAAAGGTCTGTACTTCATTAACGGGATTTGCCTCACCTTCACTCCTGAGATTAAATATTGCTTGGTCGCTTCCTTTATTAATGTACTATACTTGATTGCGCGGACAAAGCTACATGCTTCTACGTTAATGTGGGCATTAAACATTTTACATAGAATGGGCGAATACAGGACAATCCAGCTGTTATCTAAGGTTTCGAACGATCCAGAGCGAGATTTGATTGTAACTTTCCTGCCACCATCTTCGGGAGCTCCACATCTGTATAAAGGGTAGCCATTGTCATTGTGCACTGTTTCTTTTAATAGCTGTTTAGGGAATTTTTTGTACATTTTCCTTCTTTCATACATGGAGATATTGAATTTCGTGCTCCACATGGACCGTAAGTTATATTTCGGACGATGGTATCATACAATTCTTTATCTTGCTCAGAATCCAGAATCTCGGCGCTTATTATGTCGTCTATTTGGCTGAGCCGCAACTTCTCTTTAAGCCATATTAGAATGTGGGCATGCGGTAATCCTCTTTTTTGCCATTCAATTGAATACATGAAGCACTGCACCTCTCCGAAAATTTTCCCTTTGTTAATTACATACATTACTTTTGGTACTTTTAATCTAAATACTCTAGCAACTAAATCGTGTCTGTCAGTACTTTTTTGGCCCGGCATTAGCTCTTCGGTTATTTCTTTCCATGTGGGATTGCAAGTAAAAGTAACAAAAAGATCAGGTCTTCCATAAGTTCGTACATAGGCGAATGCGTCTTGTGTGTACTCATGTAGGTAGCGGCGACTGTTAACGAATGATGAGTCGCTAGAAACTGCACCTTGTAAATGTATATAATTCTCAATGCGCAGCTTTTTTTGATTTAAAGATATATAACGGAGACGTTCACTTTCTACCTTTACATACATGTCTACCAAAAATTGATGAAATAATTGTCTACACCGAGGTAAGTGGTTAAAATTATTTTCTCGCAACATCATATGATACGCATAAAAATCCATACATGATACTTTTTTGTTCGGAGTAGGCTCCTTTGTGACCGGGTTTTTTTGAAAATGATAACCCTCTTGTCCTTGGCAATAAATCAATGTGTATTACAGAGCGTTATAAAACTTGTGTGTATCGGCTACCCGTTGCAACGTATCATCACGTGCTCGCAAGACAATGTCTCGTGAAGAAAATTGATCACCACTATTTTTACCACAATTACGGCTGCTATTTAGTTTATCAAAGGTGCATTGTAGCGCCTTTCATGCTCTCCTCGAGGGGTCCAATCTGCGTGAATGACGATTTTATAATCCTCTTCAGGTAGGTTTTCTAAAGCAGTTTTAAATGTTTTGACTAAAATGTTACGTTCATGCAAGAATCTTTGAATTTTGAACACTGTGTCTCTCTCTTAACTCCCTGGATAAATTGGCAGCGATGGTCTACCTCAATTTCTTCGTCACTCATAAAATATACTTGTAAAAATTTATGATGTTTATTTTCAGCTGAAAACAGTGAACCTATTCTATGATAAATTTGCCCTTGCACCGTAAATGTAGGCAAAAATCCCAGCATTATTATTTCCCGGTCAACTCCGAAGGACGTCATGATTTCTTATATTTACGCGAACACTACACATTTTTAAATAAAACTAATTTTACGGATTTTATCGCGTATATTAACTTATTTTTATATTCCCGACGTTTCGGGTGCTTTCCAGCACCCGTGGTCACGGGGGACTGAGTTGTTTGACGTCCTGCTGTCATAGTTAGCCCGGCTACCTTCAGTTTTTTAATATTAATTTTTGGTTTGATTTACGCAGAATGAGCTTACAGTATCTTGAAGTCTAGCAGTGGTATACTTGGGTCTGGATTTGATTTTATTAATTATGGGATCCCAAGCAGATGGCAGCACCCATCCATCTTCTCTATTGAAATTAGGATGTTTGTTCTTAATTTTGGTAAAAAGACATAATAATCCAGATATTCTGACCTTCTGTGTTCGTCCATCGTACCGTCGTCCGTCTTGTAGAATCACGGTGGCGCCACCTAGCTGAATTTAATTTTGCAACATATTCGATTTTCCCACGGGAATGAGATGTTTTTCCGCGGAAAAAAGTAGCCTATGTCACTCTACAGCCACCGAACTATCCCCATACACAAAATCATGCCATGCCGACGCTCTGTTGCGACGTGAAAGAAGGACAAACAAACAAACAAACACACTTTCGCATTAATAATATTAGTATGGATGAGTGCATTCGATAGTGAGCATAATTTATTTTGTTGGAATCACTTGGAAACCTTTGTTCGCTAGTGGACTCATTATTACTTGAAATAATGATAATAATGCCACAAGATTTAATGTACAAAACTGAGAAATCGACAGAGATGTAGTTAGAGCACGTCCTTCGAACAGGTCACTGGAAAAGAGAATTTACTTCTGAAGACTCAGAAGTAAATTCTCTTTTCCAATAAAAAGGTACACCGATTCTCTATCATCTAGACTTTTCTTATCCAAGAATTAGGGGGGTATGAAACATGTTTAGTGAATAAATCTTATATTGTATATTTTTGTATTAAAAGTTGTTCATATTTTACACTTAAACATTGTTTTTACAATAATAATAATAATAATATAATAATAATATAATTTATTTAGTTCTAAACAAAAACACAAATTAACATATCAAAATAAATTAATGGAATGGAACTAAAATGGCGTCTACTCAGCACAAATGTTATAGAAACCACATAGTGATAACTATAACGCTGATTTTCAGTAAACGCCAGAGACATAGGCGCAATAAAATAAACTTAGCCAATCACAGGCTCCAACATAAAAATAAAAAATACACTCTTATAAAATTTATAAATAATAATTAAAAAAAAAAACTGTTAACATTTAGGAAAGAAAGGCACAATAATAAGCCAACGCAAAAAAAAAACCGTAACAAAACAAAAAACAAAACATATGCAAGGCACAAGGCACACAATTAAATTATTTAATAAGATACAAATACGACATTTTCTTATTATTTTATTGTATTTGGAGAAGAAAAAACAGGAAAAGCGATAAAAATAAATTCGGAAAAATCCTATTACAGGTCACGCACAAACAGATACCTAACGTTGAGACAATATAATGTAATTACCGTCTCGCCTGCAAACGAGCAAACTCATTACGGGTAATTTGATGCGATGGGTCAATGTGCAGACTGAGACCCACTGATTATGTTTTTTTACGTACGAGGTTTCTTTATTATTTAGTTATGTACGAGTATATATTCTAATTAAATTACGTTTCAGTTGATGATATTAATTAATATCTGGAGTATATTGAAAAATAATTTGACTTAGTTTTAAATTTATGCTCATTGCTTATTGTGAAATTAAATTACAGAAAAGTCTCACGTGGGTGGCATTTTACACTATTAAATTGAAATTGTCACTCATGTGACTTCATAAATTTAGCTGTCTCATTAATAGCCGTTAACAGAAATAGTTATAAGTTGCAAACCTGTTTTCAAGGAATTTTATGGTAAGATCTAAAGAATAATAATATTTGTCGAGAATATTGAAAAATACTTAATTGGCGGTAAAGTTTTTGTTATTTTTGATAAAACGTCTCTGGCTATTTTTATGATACATAAATTATTTTATCCGGGAAGCAAAGTGGTTTAGTTTTAGAA